CACCATTTGTAGAGTTTAGGCTCTTCTAACATGATCTAGGGAAGCATGTTCGGGCCCTACACGCCATTGCAGCAGCTGGATCTGCTAGCAGATTATGGAACAAAGTCGTACGTTGTCGGCTCGACAAATTCATTACTGTTACAGCAAAAGGATCGCTATAGCGACATACTAGTTAATGTGAGAACATTTCGACCCTTTGTAGATTCTCTGCTAACATCTGAACTCTTAGCTTGACGAAGATACCATCAATATCTCGTCTCCCACCCTCCGGAATGCCTTGGCACTATCTGTCGCAGACCGGCGCTGGATTGACCTTCTCACCCAAATCATCAACGACACATGGGATGAGGCCCATCCAGAGCAGCCTAAGACCCACGGATATATGGGGTCGGAGGAATTCATTAGACTACAATTTGAAGAATACCTCTTAGCACTCCTCGCCTGCATGCAGTATCACGAAGAGCTCAACTCTCTGAATGCTGACGAGTTAGGCCGGAGGAGCCGTGCCCATCTAGAAGCATTCAATATTGAGGGAGACCCGGCTTTGGAATTCAATTCCGAATTCTTGGCGCAGTGGAGGAACACGCCGAATTATTCGCTGTTCAAACGTCTGACCTCTGATGCGCTTCTTTTTTCGATCGTTGAGCCTCGCCATCCCTGCGCAGGAGGGCTGACCATTGATGATGTCCAACGACGTTTGTCTCAACAAGTCGCGGAGCTTCACTTAGACGAAAGGGTCCGTGAAAGTCGCGAGGCTCTGAACAGGCACATTTCTACTGGACAGAAGAAAGTGAGCGCGGCATTCAACAGCTTCTGGGCGGACATCGAATCCATGCGCGAAGCCCAACGCAAAAAGAATGAAGAGAAGGCCTCCCAATCGCAACGTTCATCCTTGGACAAAGGCTCTCGGAACTCTCCACCATTTTCACCGTCCGACACCGCATCGGTGCATTCCACCAGCGGTGCTTCCTGGTTCTCTGCGCGTAAAGCTCCTGCTGTCGATCTCACCCAAGCACAGGCATCCGTGAGTGCAGCAAGCCAGAAGGCAGGTGCTTATCTCAGCTCCTGGGGCTCTTGGGCCAGTGAGAAGCGGAAGGAATGGCAAGAGAAGAAAACCACGCCGGCATCACCAACTTCCGTCAATTCGCCATCGGCTCCGGCACTAAACAGCATCACAGAAGCCAGCGAGGCGGACCGAGGAAGACGGCGGTCCATGCAGTCTCGCCGCAGCGAAGACTCCACAATCTCCCGCAGTGGAAGCAGAAGAAAGCGGTGGAGCAACATTCTCCTGCGGCGGGAAAGCGGGGAGTTCAGCTCCGCCTACCGAAAGGACGACGAGAGCAGCAACAACGGCGAGCAGGACACGTATTCGAGATCGCCCTTGTCTCGCACAGCTTCATCAGTTCACGATGACGAGGTCCCCGCGATAGAATCAACCGAACCGCCTATTGAGCCCACAACCCATTCCGCACCCGAAATCAATGAGCCCGCACCTACCACTGCAGCGGAACATACGAACAAGTCACCACCTGATGAAGCAGAAACCTCTAAACTGAAGTCCCTGGAAGACGAAGCGAAGGCTCCTACTACTACCCACTTGCAACCATCTCCTGACATCAAGGAAATGTCACCGGAACCGATCGAGCCGCATGCCGAGAAATAAGACAATCATTCTGTTGATGTCTACTCGATCATTATAATAGTAATAAGGGAACAACCTATGTCCCCCTGTTCCCATTCTGTATGTAAGCCTCCCGCTTTATGTCACGACAGGCTTTTTTTCTATTTCTCCCTTTCGGGGAGACCCCCCTCTCACCCATGCTCATCTATCATCGAGAGCTCCTGATACCCGAAGAGGACACAAATAATGCCTGTATATATGACGACGCATGCCATCTATCTCAAATGTCGTGTATACTCTGTCCCATCATGTGAACTGATACATAGTAATAGCATAGTAGCTAGATAACGCTCATAGTGTTTTGATACCAATCATACATAATATTTGCATCAAATTTTTACTCACTAGTTCTTGATAGTATAGTCTAATGAAGGGCTTGTCTTTCTACATATTATGAAATATTCCATTTTTCTACTAATTACTGAGATCGTTGCTCAGCCCAGCCTCGAAGGTTTTCAGTTTATATGAACTTAGATGAAGGAATATGATGAGAAAGTGAAAAGTGTGATCCAGTCTAATTGTATATCTGGGTTGTCATTTGTCGTAGCAGCGCTGTGAAGAAAAGAAAAACACGTTTCCCATCCGCCGCTCCTCGATGTGCCATTGGGACAATATGAGTCAAGATAGAAGAAGACTAATATAAAAATAAGGAGGCTACTGCGCTAACAGGACATTTGAGATGATGGTTGATGTGATGTTTGTGATCTTGATCCAGGATGAGGGGATTGAACCGCCAAGATGAAAGGAAAGGATGAGGAAAGGGAATGGAGAATTCGGGCTGTATGGCGATCACGCAATGTAAGCGATCTCATCACCGTCCAGCCGCTCTATATAGTCCTTCTCCATGAGTGCTTCGATGTTCTTCTTGATGTCCGGGACCTTGGGAGGGAAACGCGACTTGACCTGTTGGATCACTTCTTGGACAAGTTGCACATGCTTCATCTTCTTGCGAGATTTCATGATACGGACAATAGCGGACTGTGTTATACACATGTTAGCGACATGGGAATTCTTCTAATATGACATATGTGCAAGGGACATACCTGAAGCAGCAGCTTCCGATCCTCCTCAATCGTCTTGTGCGTATCATCAGACTCAACCTTCTGCTCAGACTTGATCTGGATGTTGAGGTTGACCTTGATCTTCTTGTTCTTGAAGTTATAGTTCAGGGAGAAGGATGTACCAGGTTCTGGCTTCGACCCCTCCGGATTTATGATGAGCACCTTGGCCTTCAGGAAGATACTCAGGTTCGGGTCAAGGATCTCGGGAGCAAGGGATGTGGCTTTTTGGATTTCCTCGTAGGACAGAGTGTCATGTTCGTTGAACAGTAAGAGAATACCCATCTGGAAGGTCGACACCTGGAACGTGTACGGAACCTTGGTGTTTTTGATGTAGTTGGTCTTGATTTCACCTTTGCATAGCTGCCAGAGCCATGTCAACTTACGACCGTTATGCTTGTCAAAATAGAAACTCTGGAACCGTTCAGCAGTCTTGACAATTTCCGGTGGCGCGAGGAAGTCAGTCGAAGGCGCACTAAGGGGCCAGAATCCAGTTCCCAGGATCTGGAAGTGTGAGTCCACCAGTTTCCTCCGATCGTCATCGTCGAGAATCTTTTCCTGCCAGTCTCTGTAGCTGGCGTTAAGGTCTTTCGAAATCTGAATGTCTTGGAACATGCGCTGCAGCTTGTTGGTGTACTCGAATCCACATGCCTCCTTAAGCTTGCTAATCATACTGGTCTCTGCATCGTCAGAGACCGAGCTGACGTGGACGAGACGTTTAGCCAGCATCTTGGAATAGAACTTCTGGAAAACATCCTTGTCTTCAATGTACTTGAAGACAGTCATGATCTGCACCAGCATTTCTTCGAGTTCAGACTCCTCCGCTGCCTTGGAGCCCTTCTTGAGCAGTGAATCTGTGTACCGGGCCAGCAATTCCGGGGTCTTTGTTGAACCAGATTTGCAGATCTTATTGCGGTTTACAAATTCACGGCAAGCATTATCCAGAGACCGGACGAACTCCGACTCGCCGTTGAAGGCTTCGCTTACCAGACTCTGATACCGGGTGTGCACCTGCAACAGTGCATCGACGTAGAGCTTGGGCTCAAAGGATTCGCCATCCGCGGCAACCTTTTCCACGGCAGCCAAGCCTGCTTTTCTGACGTGGGCTTCAAACTTGGTGCGGAGAGGGTCCAGGCCATCTTTAATGCGAGACAAGAGTCTGTACATCCGGGCTAGATCTTCTTGGCGTTCATTATCCAACAACACCTGGAACTCGTCCCGCAAGAGTTCGGAGTGCGCGGTAACAAGCACATCCAGGCACGTGTCAGTGAGGTGCTTAGAGATATCCGGGTGCAGATACAAGCCCACGCGAGCCTTCTCTTCATCCAGACGAGCCTCCGCCTTCTTCATGTACTCAACAACACTGTTCTCTGCGACAAACTGGCGTGACTCATTCTCGTAATAGACCCTAGTGGCGTCAATGAAGGGCTTCTCGAAGTAATACCGATAGACCTCCAGGGTGGATTTGCTAGAGTCGCTCTCGTCCAAGCCAAGGGAGACGAAGGAGTCAACAATGCTCTTGATCTGAGACTGCTCGATGGTTTCGCCGTTTCTCTGCTTCTCGACCAAGTTGAGCACCGCTTCCATGACCTTCTCATGGACCTTCATGAAGAAGTCATCCTTCCACTTGACCAAGTGCAAGGTATACACATCGTATACATTCTTCTTGCCTTCGTCAATCTCCCGCTTGACCCAGTGACGGTTCAAATATTTGAAAAGATGGTTGATGTACTTCGCCGCCGTCGTGTAACGGAGCCACTCTCGGATGTAAAATCCTAGCAGGGCCTCTTCCGCATGACCCTCGGACTCTTGGTATACCGCGTCAAGGTGACGAGAAAGGTACTCCCCGAGCAACTTGTACAGTTCCTCTCCTAGTAGATGTGCTGGTGATGCCGTCAGCTGTGGAGTTCTGAGACTTAAGAATTTGTGTGGTTGTGACCGACCGCCATGATGCGCTTTTATGTTTTGGCTGCTACCGATGGCCTTCTGTGACGTGCAAAAGTTATGGACGGCGCTTGTTTTATGCAGGTTAGCCAATACATGGGGGCAGGAGACGCCTCGGAACCAGGACATACGTATACAACGCCATGTACTAGAACAACGAAGATGATATGTCAGCAGACCATCCAGCTCGGCAGATAATGATGGTCCTGACGGGGAAGCCAGGCAAAGAAAGTTGAACGGCATACAGTTTTCATATCCACACCTTCCTCCAACTTGAGCATCACGCTGTCGATGCCCTTCTCTAGGAACGTCCATCTGCACACCATCAGCCAAGGTCCCGACCAAAGCCGCTATATGATTCCTTCTGACAAGAGCGGCCGCCCGGCTTAAAAGGACTCACGTTTCATCCAGATCATCCTTGTGAGGGATTTGGGGGATAAGAGCAGGCATTCTGCGAGCTATGGATAGTCGAGTTCGAGCCTTGAGCACAGGTCTATGGAGTAAACGGGACAGCATTAGCTTATGCGAATTTGAGACGACTCCTTTTGAGGAGTTGTCAAGGCGGCGGAAGGTTCTAGTTATGGGACGAAACAATGGACAAGGAGACGATAGCGACCAGGCACAAAGACATGTGAGGAATGAAAGGGAACACGGAACTTACCTCAACGTCTCAAGGATAAAATGAGTGACCGCGCGATGAGCGGTGGGCGGCTAAGCTTTAAGGCAGCGATGATGAGTCTAGATATCAGCTTCAGGACCTCAGCCTAGCATTTAAGGCAGAAGAGAAGCTGGCGCGCTGTGGGAGACGACCCAAGGAGCCACGAGGATTGCACTGCAAATGCCCGGAACTACTAGAGTAGGTAGTGACGCGCCTTGGGGGAGAGAGGGTGGGGAGGGTAGAAAAGCGAAGGCGGGGAGGAGATATGATTTGAGCAAAGGAAGCAGAAAGAGGGCGTGGCGGTTGGGCGGAAGAACTAAGATGGGGGGAGGATGATGATGGCTGGTGGTTGGTGGTTGGTTTAGTTTGGCGGTTACTAAGTAACTTGGTGGAGGTTCCTCCAACAGAGGGGGGGAATTGCTCGCTGTTTGCGGTAGGCGGTCAAGCCCTCTCGATCTAGATTTCGATTCCCCAGGCCGCCCTGCTGAGTGATCGGGACTAGTACAGAGTCCTGTGAACAGTCTTTCTTTAATTTTAATTACTTGAAGGTTTGTTCCAGGTCTCTTCAGCATCGTGTTACACTGTGCACGTCCAGCTTTATACCTCCCCTCAAATTCTCCCCCAAACTGCATCCCAATACCCTTTGGGTAGGCTGTCACGGGACCCGACCCTTGAGACCAAACTGCTACGTAACCGCCTACCCTATTTCTGACCCCCCCAAAATGTTCATCTGTCACACAGTCAATGTCGATCTGACTGGACACATCCTCCGCCGTTGGAGAGAAGACGTATCTAAGATCTCCTGGCATCAATGACACGTTGGATGCGAGACAATCAGCTCATTGCGTGACGAAATGCTAACTGTCATGCATTCTTCGTCCCCTCACAGGGGGCAAGCAGTACTAATGACGTCACACATACTCTCATTACGGATGAACTGATCTTTAAAACTTAAGAAAAATGAACCACCACAACTCCGAGTCCATTAGCACTAACATAAGAGAAGAAAGACAAGAACGAATGGCCGTGTTGAAAGTCGATCAATCATGTCGTTCTCTCCTCCTTCAGAAATTTCCGTGACATCTCGCCAGATCCCCAAATGGGGTGGCATTCCCAACACCTCGATCCAGTCTAAGCCACTCATGATCTACCACAAAGCTTTTAACGCGTCCGCTAACGATCTCGCGGCGCACCTGGAGGAAATTGGCGAGGTCAGACCACAGTGGGTCTATTCCATGTACAGTCAAACGCACTTTCACAGCACCACTCACGAGGTGCTGGGTGTGGTTTCCGGCCGTGCACGGCTTTGCTTCGGTGGGGAAGCGAACCCCGAACGCTTCGAGCCGACCGTCGAAAAAGGAGATCTGATTATCGTGCCCGCCGGCGTCGGCCACCGGCTGCTGGAGGAGCTCGGCTCTGACCAGGGTGACCCTTTCCAGATGGTTGGCGCTTATCCGCCTCAGAAACAATGGGATATGTGCTATGGTGACTCAAGGGAGGAAGACAAGGTTTCGCGGAATATCCATGCCTTAAGTTGGTTCCACAGCGACCCCTTGTGTGGGCAGGATGGGCCTGTGCTGCACGTCTGAAGGATTCCTTGGGATAGATCTTCGAGCGATAACAGCGGCCGTGGATTCTTTACCATCAAGATTTCATATGTACATAATGTTCTTATCCTATATGCACAGTGATCGTGTAATCCAAAAAAGAAATCAGATTTTCCCTTTCCGACCCAATGCTTTGAAACTCCAACCGACCACCACGACAGAAATAAAACTCCATAACTAAGCTCACGAAGCAAGGATATAGCGCCAAGTAAAGCAAACGGGGGAATGAGAAGGAGGAATTGAAGGAAGTTGAAAGGGGTAAGCCAAGAAAGGAGTAAGAAAAGAACTACCGGAAAAGCAATTCGGGGTATTAATGTGGTGGAAGGGGGGATAGAAAATTGCCCCAAAGGGACTATAATAGAGAGATGGATAAGGGGGTTGGGGGTATATTGTAGAGCTGCACTTTATGAAGCAACTCGTTCGACAAGTCTAAATGGAAGCTGTCAGTATCGTCATTCGTGTAACATGGTAGGACTCTCGTACCTGAGGACACTGATGGAAAAGGTGGTAAGCCAGGCTAGGAGCGCAATCAGTAGTACACAAGCTAAGGCGATCTGCCGGTCGCATATTGCGTCGTTTTTCGGCGCAACCTCTTGGTTAACTTCAGCCATTGTGCATGCGCCCCTCACGGTCGAGAGTGATTCGAACGCCAAACTGAGATTGGCCGAGTCGAACACAATGAAAAAGATGTCCAGAAGAATGAGTCGCGCCTTGGCGGAGGGAGAGCGGAGACCCAACGGTTTGGATGTGTATTCATCAAATGTAATGTAAACGAGGTAAACCAAGGCAACCGCATCGACGATAATCGCCATTAGTGCAGAGGGGCCTTGGGGATGCTGGTACGTCCCCGAGAGATGTTGGATAGAGCCTCCAAGAGCTAATGCAGTGAGGGAAAAGCACCACACCGTAAGTCGAAAGATCAAGGGGACCATAGGGCTCTTGAGAAGCGTGCTGTGGAAGCGCTTGAACCAAATTTCTCGTCGTCTTCTCATCCTCAAGGGGTCTTCGGTATCTTCATCCGGTTCGCCTTGACCTCGCCAAGGTTCAGAATAATCACCGAGATTCTCATTCAACCAGTCCGGCGTGACGGATTTCTCCTCAACTCCTTGTTCTCGGGGGTATGCAATGTCCCTGGAAAAGTTCTTCCAGCGCGACTCGCGCTCTCGTCCAATGAAACCCCTGCTACTTTCACCCTGTCCACTCGAAAGGGTAGGTCTTGATGCCGCATAAGGCGAATGATTGTGCTGGGCGACAACAGCTTCTCCGGGCTGTGATGGAAGCAGCCTATCTGTGACAGCTGCATCTACCTCGTCCTCCGTATACTCGACTGAACGGATCCATGCTATACAGGTTATCGTTGGTTAGCTGACTTAACCCGGTGGATCCGAGATCAATCAGGACACAAGGGGAAACTCACCTGGTAAAGTCCGAGGTTTCTTCCCCATTGCCGGGATGTTGTCGAATTCGCCCACGACTGTACTCTCTGGAGAACGTGAGTGCCCAGCCGAGTAGTCTACTGCATCATGTGGGTGGACGATATCATTATCGCTGTGGAGCGCGCCAGTGGAATGGTTCGATTGCGCCGACATCCACTCGGTAGCGGAGGGTTGCTCCGACAGCTGTTCGTCGGAGAGGGGAGCGGCATCCGGAGGCTGCAAATGTGAGTCGCGCACATCTTGTGCCATTGCCGTACAGTTCAGCGGTGGTTCCAGGCGAAGATGCGTCGGCGGGTCGGAAGCTGGGGGCAAGCCGCGGATCTAGTCTGCATCGCCTCAATGTCCCTCGGAAGATTAGCGGGCACCGGGCTTGACTGAAATTTGGGAAGCCTTGGCCCTTGGGAGAGATAGGATCATCGAGAGAATAGTCAGGATGGGTGAAACAAAGCGACAATGAACTGAGATCAGACGTCGCAGAAGGAGGGGAAAAGAGAGCGAAAGGCTGGGAGGCTGGTTTACAAGAAATTTGGATGATGGAAGCCTACGTAGTAATTCGTCCGGGCTGTAATCTTAGCTGGAGGAGCTAAACCCCCAACCGGTTAGCTGCGTAACTTTCGGCCAGGTACACTCAGTACTTACCATACCGTACAACCTGCAGCCACGATGCTCCATACTATCGGTAGTTGCAGTGTCATGCATACCGTCACAACAGTAAGCTGAATGACGTCTGAGATGCAACTAAGCAAAGCATCATCCATCATCACCACCGCCGCCGCCAATTAATGGTCCGGCAACCTCCACGCATCCATCTTCGCTACACCCATTCATTCCCTGATATCAATTCAGAAAACGGTAACAACTACGACTCGAAAAGCCAATTCAGGCCCCGTGACCTTCGAATACCCTCATCAGACAGGAAAGGCATGCCACTTTCATCTACGCCCTTGAATCGGTTATTTTCTCTAGTCGATCGCTAGCTCTCCCTGGCTGCCTCCCAAATTTGCCCAAATCAGCCATTGTCGCTGATCCTTGGAAACACGCCACGGCACTCATAATAATATCACAGAACGGATCCCTTCCTCAGTTGCTATGCGACTCTTCGTCATCCCTATCTCGACGCGACAAGCTCTAATCTACGCTCGACCCCTCCGCCGTGGTCCGTCGCAGAAGCCTTCGATACATGACCGGGTCATACAAAAGGCTGCAGAAACATGGGCGAAATGGGAGGAGGCCGATAAGGGCTGGAAGAAGCATTTGGTCTCTTGGGGTAATCGGGTGCAGCAACGCATCCCGTATCAAGAATGGGGTCTGAAAAGTATCCCATCTCTCGCAGCGGTGCGGCGACTTGACGAATCCTACGGGACCAAGAAAGTGGACGTACTATTCCCGGGGAATGCTATTCGGCCGGAAAAGCTACAAAAGATGTTGCAAGCAATTGCGACGGAAAGGCAGGACTTGCATCGCCGAAGGATGTGGTTGAGCTTGCTTGCGACGCCCTTGACCGCTCCCGTTGGGCTTATTCCCCTGTATGGAGCTCTTCTGATTTACCCCGATTTTAATGGCTTGGTTGACCCGTATATGCTAATCACACAACCATACCTACAATATAGTGTACCTAATGTGCCTTTCTTCTACCTCGTGTACCGAGCATGGTCCCATGGACGAGGTTGGCTTACCACTTCTTTCTTACTCATGACAGTTCGTGAACTGACCATCCCAAGCACTTAACGGCTCCAAACACTTGGAGTTTCTTCTAGAGAAGAATCTCCTGAATCCGATATCATACCCTGGGCTCGAAGAACTGTACGCGAAGCGCGTATCTTACGCACTGGAGAATACTGGAGTGGACAAACCCATTGCGGAGATGGTAGAAGACGTGGAGAAGAGTGATGATAAATTACTTCTCCGCATGACAGATGCGAAGAAACTAGCCTCGATACTCGAGGCACCGGATCTTGCGCTTGAAGCCGAGCGAGCTATCATACAAGTGGAGGAAAAGCTGAAGGCTGATGCGAAGAAAGATGCTGAGGATGGGGCCTCTGAAAAGAAAGATACATGAGCAAAGGGGATAACTATGGGAAGGATTCCTACACGGCAACCATCATGGCCCGTGGCTGCCCCAGGTCTTCCGAGGGCAAGTCAGTACATAGTGTTTGTAAATGGTGCATGGCGAATGGAGCTTGGAAGCACACGCCCAGTTAGAGTGATAGGAAGTATCTAGACATATTGCGAAATAATGAAAATCACACGACTCTCCAAGCACTTCATAGCTATCGATTTATGAGGCTATCCGGAGACTATCTATCTAAGATAAAGTCGATTATCTGGAGTAGTACCTGGACGGAACTAACTTGTTCCGGTAATCCCAGCGGAGCCATTGCGGGACGCCCGAACCGGATGACGCCCAGCAATCCAGCCAAACAACTTCCCCCCATTTATTCCCCCCATCCTGTTCACTTCATTCATTCTTACCTCCTGCCTCCCATTGCTCGGTGTCCTGCTGAACCCCCCAAGTCGACAAGCGACTCTGCCTCCAATCATGTCAACCAAGAAGATCGAGCAGTGGGAAATCGAACGGTACTGGGAGATCTTCGCATCGCTGGCAGGCGGCCAGCCGCGTTTGAACAACTCCCAAGCGGCCTCGGTACTCAGGAACAGTCGGCTTCGTGATGACCAACTGGAAAAGGTCTGGGACCTGGCAGATGTTGATGGTGATGGCGAACTGGACTTTGAGGAGTTCTGTGTTGCCATGCGATTGGTGTTCGACCTTGTCAATGGGGTATGTGAGCTCCCCTACTGCGGCGCCTCCCGGTCCCTCCTGGTGCTGCATGTCTCCTTTCCCGCCCGCTTCTGCAGTCCAATGCTTCCCCCACTCCATTACGTTACATGCTAATATATCCAATCCGCAAAGGAACTACAAGCAGTGCCAAACGTTCTTCCGGATTGGCTTGTGCCCGAATCCAAAGCTCATTTAGTTCATGCGACCCGGGCCCTGAGCGGTCGTCCAGAGCAATTCGAACGGATAGAAGACGAGGATGACACTCCCGGCTTGAAAGATGGCTTTGAATGGTACATGAACCCATCCGATAAGTCTAAATACGAAGAAATCTATCTCGCGAACAAGAACCACCGCGGGGAGATCTCCTGTATGTCCGAATTCAAGCTCACCCCCAACTTCTACCTTCCGGGTCATGAAACTGACATGATGCGGGTCTCATATAGTCGAATCGTTACAGCCTCTTTACGACTCCCTTGACGTCCCGGACACAGACATCCGCTCTGCATGGAACCTAGTTAACCCTTCTGCTTCCCCGACCATCAACAAAGACGCTACGCTTGCATTCTTGCATATGCTTAACTACCGCCACGAGGGCTTCCGCATTCCCCGCGCCATTCCTGCATCCCTGCGCGCTTCGTTCGAGAACAACCAGATCGACTACCAAGTCGACAATGCCCGTCCCGCCCAGAAATGGGGCGCAAGCGGCGATACGGAGACCCTCACGGGCAAGAAAGCCAAGTTCGGAGATACCTACTTGAGTCGACTGGGTGCCGGAGGAAAGACATCCTATACACCCAAGGGCACGGATTTCAGCGACACCATCCAGGATGAAGAGTGGGAGAAGGTCCGGTTGAGGCGCGAGCTGGCGGAGATTGAGTCCAAGCTGGATTCTGCTAGAAAGGCCTCTGAAGGACGGCGCGATCGACCTCGGAACGACGGCCGGCCCAACTGGGTGTTGATCAAGAAAGAAGCACTGCAGCTGCTGGAGTACAAGGAGCGGGAGCTACGGGAGCTGCGTGAAGGCGCGGGCCGATCCAAAGACGGCCAGAACGTAGAACGTCTCAGAGATGATGTCAAGACCGTTGGCGAGCAAGTCGAAGGTTTGAAGAGCCATCTGGCGCAACGGAGGGAGGTGCTCTCTGATCTGCGGGCACAGGTCGAAGAGGCAAAGTTGTCCCGGTAATCATCTAATCTATTCCTCGTTCGACTTGCCTTTCCCTTTCCTTGCTTCGTTTTCTTGAATATACTTTTCACCTGGGTTGCTTTCTGGTATTTCCTTCTTGCCGTGAGGGGTCTACGCTCACGAGCTTTGCTATCGTGTTGTTGTCGTTGTATAGCCATTTTCTTGGCGAGGAGCATCAGGCGCTTAATGGATTGATTCGTGTCTCGTGTGTTTATTTTCATGCATGCTTCGCTTCCACTAGAGGTGTGATTTGTTCCAACTCATTTGAGTCCTCAGTTTGGACTTGCTCTCGCGCATTACCCGCCTATTACTCCTCTTCCTTTTCCAGTCACCCCCTCTATCTAATGTACAGTACATAATAAGAACGCCCTATAAACCTAGCCTAGGTTCCGCTTTCCCTGACCTGACGCCCACCTCATAGCAAGTAGGTCATAATGATTGATGAAGGGGGCAAACAACCTAAACGCCCGCCTTCATGAGGAATAAACAAAAAGAAAAGCGAGAACCAGAAGAAGGAAGATTAAAGAAATATTACTTCCCAATAATCTGCGCCATTAAACCATCACCATCCCTCTTCGTCTCGACAGCCATGAAGGCCCGTCCAGTAGTATCCAATCCCTTCTCAGCACGAGCATACGCCTCCTCACTGCGATCCGTCAAGATATCCAAATCCTTCTTCGAAAGCAAAGTGGCCGGGTCCGCACCAGCCTCAAAGCTCTCATATTCATCCTGCCCCAGCGCCTTCTTCAAATCATCAACATCATTGGAGCTAAGTCCACCGGAGTCCAACAGACTCCGGAACTTGCCCTTCTGAATGACCAACCTTTCGAGACGACGCTTCGAGTCCGCTTTCTCGAGCAGCGTCTGCTCCACAGTTCCCTTTGTCGCGAGGCGATAGACAATAACCGGTTTCGTTTGCCCGATGCGGTGGGCACGGTCTTGCGCCTGCAGATCCTGCTGCGGGTTCCAGTCGGAGTCGAAGAGGATGACGGTGTCGGCGGCCATGAGGTTGATCCCTTGGCCACCGGCGCGAGTGCTGAGGAGGAAGAGCTTGTAGTCTTTGTCGGTGTTGAAGGCTTTGATTTGTGCGCGGCGGTCTTCTTGGCTGACGGCGCCGTCGATGCGGCAGCAGTTCCAGGAGCGTAGTTGCGTGGCCCAGTCTTGGAGGATGTCGAGTTGGGTCTTGAATTGGGAGAAGATGAGGATTTTGTGGCCCTTTTTGAGAAGGCAGGGGACTAGCCGGTCTAAGAGGAGCATTTTGCCAGATGCTGTGACGAGGGTTTCGTCGATGGAGGTTGGATCGTCCATCCATGGCCAGTAGAAGTTATGTGGGGAGTTGCAGGCAAGTCGGGCTTGCATGATGGGGTTTTGCATCTTCTTTTGAGCGATTTCTTTCTCTAAGAGGTGGGAAGGAGATGTTAGTTTTCCGATGTAGGATGAGGGCAGGGATATGGAGGTGCTTACTGGCAAGCCGGATGGTTTTGGCTCTCTCTTGCTCCTCCTGTTCTGTCTCGCTGGGTTGTTCAGCGATGTCCAGATCTTCTTCTAAGCCTTGCTCGAGTCTGCGAAGTCTAGAGTTGAATTCGCGGTCGCTCAGCTCCTTGTAGCTCGACACCTTGCCGCGTCTCCGGGATGTGGGCAATGCTGCACTGGCTGGTGTGGATGAGCGGCTAGATTTGAGACTCTTGTTCGGTGATGAAGCTTCGCTGGTATCAGCGCTGCGTTTCAGGCTCTGAGATCGTGACGGTCTTCCACTCTTAGCCATGAGACGTTCCGTGGCTTTTTCCTCGAGGTACTGGCGACCAGTGCCGTTGAGAATCTCACGATAAAGGTCTTTCTGTTCTGCTGTCAACGGCGCATATAGGATGTACTCCCGCTTCTTGGGAAGGGACGTCTCAACATCGGTCTTCACACGTCTGAGGAGGAAAGGCTTCAAGATCGAGTGCATGGTGGATACCAGCGTGCGCTTTCGACGTTCCATGACATCCGTCTGACCATTGTTGTCCAGCATGGACGAGAAGTCAAACCAACCCTGGAAGCTGTTGAGATCATTGAAGATCTCAGGTAAGAGGAAGTGCAGTAGTGACCAAAGTTCGGTGATGTTGTTCTGTAATGGTGTGCCCGTGATGAGGAGCCTGTTGGCCGAGTTGTAGGTGAGCAATTCCTTGATCAGTTTGCAGTTCATGTTCTTCAAGCGATGTCCTTCATCCTGCAAACATGTTAGAGAATCGAATCATTTCAAATGGTCATGCGATGGGGAAGCAGAACATACCACAATGATATACCGCCACTGATATTGTGCGAGGAACTTTCGATCGTTCATGCAGATTTCATAGGAAGTGCAGACGACAGGAAAATCCGCGCTCCTCTGGTCCTTCATGTTCATGAACTTCCTCCTAATGGTTGCACGTTCATCCCTTGTCCCATGGTACAAGACCGTCTTAATTCCAGGCGTCCACTTTGCAAACTCATCCACCCAATTGCTCACCGTGCTCAAGGGAGCAGCGATCAGGAAAGGGCCAGAGACATTCTTCTCCTTGAAGAACGCAATTAGTGAGATAGCCTGAACGGTCTTCCCAAGGCCCATCTCATCAGCCAGAATGCCACACAGTCCATTCATCCAAAGCGACTTGAGCCACTCCAACCCCTCCAATTGATACTTCTTCATCTTCCCTCCGGTCACCAACTCCGGCTGCTGGGTAGCAACTAGTTCCTGGCCACCCAGTGCCGTTGGATTCGCTTCATACTCATCTGCGGCATGCTCCAAAGCTTCCTGAACCGTCGGCTTATCCTCATCGACCTTCACATCCGCCTTCTTGAAGTAGCTGGAGATGGTGTTGCCATTCGCAGCCGCAGAAGCAGGCTTCCTTCCCCGGCCTCTCCTGGTCTTAGTGATTTCCTGTTCTTCCTCCTTCTTCTCTTCTTCAACGGCAGCTTCCGTTGTGGTGGCAGCGGACTGCCTTGCACTCGTACGCGTCTGTCGCCGTCCAACCGGCTCGCTAGCACCCTTGGGTTTGGTTTCAGTCTTTTTCCCTTGCTGTTGCTGTTGTTGTTGCTTGGCTGCTTCAAGCCTCGCCTCTTCCTGCTGTTTCTTCATTTTGTCCGCCATTATCGCAACGAAGACCTATCAAGAGAGAGCGAACTCATCAGCAATAGTTCTGCGCCACCAAAATCTCTTCCAACCCCATGATCGAACAATCGCACCTCACTGGTGTTAAGAAGATGCATCAGCGCCTTCGCCTTCACATCCATCCCCTCAATATCTTCCGATAAATCCATCTTATCCTGCGGCGTGGTCTTCTGGTCTTGGTCGGGTCCGTCTGCCATCGGCGTGGACGCCTGCGAAGAGCCTGTTTGTGGGGCGAATTCATCAAGGGAATCAGTCCCGGTAATGGGGGTATCTGGATTCGACATCTTCCCACTTCGATTTTGCGTATTGCAGGGATGTCGCTTATAGGGTCTGTCGTTCAGCTAAATATTCGTTCTGCGCGGCCAATGTCGCAATTGCCTCCCACAGCGGGATACCGGAGCAGAGTGGGCCTGTCCGATTGCAGATTCACTCAAAAGGCCTGCGGTGAGTCTTTATCTCCCAGGCGTCCTGCAACTCCGTTGAACAAGAGGCGATAATGGTGCCCTGGAAATGGGGCCAGAGCATCAACACTGGGCAGGCAGCCTGCACGCATGACGGACGGGCGGCGCGCCTTTGTTCTCCCACGCGGATTTTCGCGTCAGCGCACGGACCATCTCTAAATGGGATTTTGCCTTTCACATGAACAACCGCTTCTTCCTCTTCCTCACTAAGACACCACCTACTTGATACAGTACCGCAAATATATGCAAACGATGTTCTAAGGTCCAGGTACTTGTGGGCCTCACCGATCATGCTGATAATGATTTATGATTTAATAGTGCATCGTGGTTCTGCTATAATCAGAGCCAGTTCTGCAGGACCCGGAAAGTACTGTATAACTATGGATTATCCCCCGACATATAAACCATCATCATCATCATCATCATCATCATCATCATCATCATCATCATCATGATGCATGGTTGTGTTCAGTGCAAGTTGCCAGCTTTTAAGGCACAGCTAAACTACCCTGTACCCTCTATCGGGCCCCAGTGACACCTTTATTGTCCTGCAACGGAACATACCAAGCATCCACGCGTTCTTTGTCTCGATGCAAGAAAAGGTTTACACGCCATGGTGCTGACGTCCTTCGATGCCCTTTGCTAAGGCTCTCTCTTAGAAGGGACAGCTTCCTACTAATCTAATAGAGTCCATTAGGGACCTTCCATTCAATATTGCATACCCCGTACATAGGACTCCTGTGGTTTATGATACCTGAGCTTCCTCCACATATTCATGCTACTACATATAAAATGCAGAGGGACACCACTAGATCTTCCTATTTCCTGCTCGCTCATTTCAGTACAGGCCCCGCTGAATTTAAGCTAAGCAAGAAACAATAACTCTCTTGCAAGGTATACCTCGCTCAGGCATCATGGATCGATTGCCCCCCGAACTGCATATACGAATCGGCCGATATCTCTTGATTGATGATTTATACCGGCTGGTTCTCGTATCGAAATACTACTATTCCACTTTCACCCCGGAGCTCTACCGCGAGATTCAAGTTTCAGGAAGATACCGGCTGTTGAACACCGATTTCCACCTAGACAAGATTGGCCCTCCTGCCCGATGCCTCCCTTATGCCATCGATGAAAACCCAGGTCTTGCTGGTTTCGTCCGGTCACTGGAGTTGGTCCCTTTCGTATATCCGGGTTCTCCAAAAATAAAGCTGTCTAGAGCTCTTCAGGAAACAGAAGGGGGAGACTTGCTCTCTCGTCCGCTGACCAGACAGATGATCCAGCGTTGGCAAAAGGAACTTGAATCTGACCAAAGACTCGACTCCTGTCAGCCCCTGAGGAATCCCTGGTTCGCTCTGCTATTGCTTCGGCTAAAGAATCTACAACGTCTTTCTGTTTTCTTGCCATGCAATGAGCACGAATATGGCCAAAGCGGTCCCGCTCCCACGCCTCGTTTTGACGAAGTCATCTCATCGGCAGCATGCCCTGAATCAGGGATCCTCACCCGCTTGACACATCTTACACTCGAAGAATCTCAACCAACTAATTCTTATAAACCGCCAGGTATACCCCTGGCCCGCCTGATTCCATTTCTCGAAATCCTTTCCTTGAGACATATTCGTGTTACGCGGATTACCGAGCAAAACGAACAAGCTCTCCCTCGCAACTTCAACAGCAGAGTAACCCATATTGACGTCGAACAATGCGATAAAACCGTCACTCAATTACCGCAGCTGCTCATGGGGTGTTCAGAGCTCGAATCCTTCACCTGGACGCTTGAGGAGTCAACACCCCACCGACGTGGGTACCCGCACAGCCCTGGCTTTCACTGGGAACCCAACCGCGCATATGATTCTCTTTACCAACTCCGCTCAACGCTGCGGCACCTTAGTATAACATCTCACATATGCGATAGCATCAGCTACCCTCATCACGATGTGGAGTATCCCCAGCCAGCATACTTCGGGTCCTTGTGTGACTTTCCCGTCCTAGAAACCCTACAAATGCGGATGGTCAATCTAATGCCATTTCAACCCGGCACCCAGCTCCCAGTTTTCCCTCTGTGGAAGACTCTTCCAAGTTCGCTGAAGTTCCTATCTATAGACAATTGTCTTAAGCAGACTTCTAATACGCTGTGCGATGAGCTGGAGGACTTGGCAGTACATTGCCCGACACATTTCCCTCAGCTAGAAGTGGTGCACATTGCGTATTCCCAATATGAGAAGATAAATGGGCAGCAATGTCTAGCCTGTCAAGGCTGGAGTTCTGCCATTTCGTACAGCAATGTCAAGGCAAACCCAGCACTCGTTGCGCGGCTTCTGGCATTGGTCTACAAATTTGGAAAGCACAGGGTAGGTTTCCGCCCCTTCGGTAAATTCAAGGACGGAAAATATATCGGTGGTGGTAAATAAGTACAATGTTAGATTTTTTGAACAGGGCTTGTGATTATGGTCAGTGTCTAATCTTCAATATCACTTTGCTGGTTTTCAGGCTTACGTTTACTACACTTATATTATGGATCAGCTGTACTAAGAGATGTGCATCAGTCTCTATGCTGAATACTGATCACTTTGATTTGAACTAGTCCAAGTTGAAGAAACAGAAGGCGACATAGATAGCGATGTGGTTTATCAAAGCAAGGCCCTCGAACATAGAACCTGATGTAACATTGAATGCATGTATTCGACTTAGCTTTATACAACAGTGTTCTGTACGGAAAGAAAGTTAGATGCATGGCTTTGCAATACATATTGATGCAATGGCAAGTCCAGGCTCCTCCCCTCTTTTCATATATCTCAATAACGATAAATAACATGCTCTGCTCACCAGCAGAATCTTGATAGTGATGCAGTGGTTTCGTGAAACGCTTTTTCCTGTCATGGTGGGTGGGTGTGTGTATGATCTTCATACTATCCCCATGCCCTCAAACTCCAGAGGGATATAAACTAGAACTTTGTAAAATCCAACTCAGACTGTTCACGACAAAACGCACTGCGGCCTCTCTTCAAAAACTTCCCGTAGCCCTTCTGACCTACAATACCCCCGTTATCCCGATCCCAGACGACCTCCCCACGCAGCAGGGTGTATCGCGGCCACTGGGTTACCATGTGCCCTTCATACGGTGTATAGTCCACATTATGATGTAAAGCGGAATTCGTGATAGGGAATGGTTCCAGAGCAGATGGATACCAGATCATGAGATCCGCATCGGATATACCCGGGATAATGGAGCCTTTCTGCGGATAAAGTCCGTACATTTTGGCTGGGTTGGTGCTCGCGACCTCAACGAACTTCTGAGGCGTGAGACGGTTGGAGTTCCAGACTAAAGGAAGACGTGTCTCAACTCCCGGACAGCCGTTGGGGACATTTCGGAAGCGGCCTAGGGATTCGTCGCCATTGATGGCTATCTTTTTCCCATTGACATCGTCGTCGTAAACATATGGGCTATGATCAGAGGAAAGGATTGTGAATGTTCCATTTTGCAGCCCTGTCCAGATGCTTTCCAGGTCGTTCTCACCCTCGCGGGGTGGGGGTGAGCATATGCATTTGGCGCCCTCGAAGCCGAGCTTGTCGAGGTCTTTCCTAGTCAGAAACAAATACTGTGGACATGTTTCGGCAAAGATAGGCCATCCGTTGGTCTGCGCGCCGCGAATCATGTTTGCGGCTAGCGGCGAGGAAACGTGGACGATCAAGATTGGTGTGTGGATGAATTGGCTCAGGGATATGGCTCGACTGGTAGCTTCATACTCCATGATTTGGGGCCGCGAAGTGGCATGATATTTCGGTTCTAGTAACTGGCGATTTTCGAGCTGCTCAGTCATCCAGGTGAGCATGTCGCCGTTTTCAGCATGGATAAGTACGGTTACTCCATCTTTGCGGCCCTGCATCAAGACATCCATGACCTGGCAGTCACGTAGCTGCATAGATTCGTAGGTCATGAAGATTTTGGCTGAGGACACGCCGCGCTCGCGGAGAATGGAAAATTCGTCGAGAACCTCTCGGCTTGGGTTGGATATCATAAGGTGAAGAGAATAGTCACAGTATGCAGCATATTCGGCTTTCTTTTGCGCTGTTTCCAGCGCCTTGACTAAGGATGGATCAGACTTATCCTGAGGAGCAAATGCGATGATGCTTGTTGTGCCACCAGCAATAGCAGAGCGGCTTCCGGTCGTGAAAGTATCTGACGCTTGACCCTGGCCTGGCGGTTCGGCCAGGTGGACATGCGCATCGATGCCGCCTGGCTAATGGTGACCTGTCAGTAATTGAGACCATCGCTGTACTTTTTGTATGAATGAAACTTACCATAACATATGCACCCTCGGCGTCAATAACTCGAGAAGCGCGAGCTATGGCCAAGGACCGCGCAGGAGCAAGTATAGCTATCTTTCCATCTTTAATGCCAATATCATACCGACCAACATCAGCGGCCGTAACAACGGTGCCATCTAGCACAACACAGTCAAATGAAGTGGTGAGCATGCTAGGTGCCAGTGCAGCTGTTTCACCTTAACAACCCTTTAGGGAGTGGACTAAGGTAGTGATAGCGTGGAGAAGCAGAAGAATGCCCTTATGTAGGGTGCAGTGATTTACCGTTCTAGGCAGGATGAATGCGACACCATCAACGAGACCAGGGAAGCAAAGGCCAGACCTTCAACGTAATCCACACCACTCGGCCTCGATGGATCTATCTATCTCCAGACTGATCAATAAGGGATGGGCCTAATTCCACTATCAATCCCGGTTTCTCGGGGCTTTGAAATACCTTTATAGGCATCCCAGAAGTATCCAAAACCCTGAAAGTTTATCGCCAGATCAAAACCCGAATTGGATCATGGGTGCTAGTGGCTGTCAGATCCTAGGTCGTGGAATTCCAGCGTACGTAGACAACCACTGTTGTCGGATAAACAAGTCATCCAGCCGAGCAAAACAGGTTTATCGCCCATTACAGATAGTATCCCCATAGTTTAGGCCATCGTCATGTGGCGTCGTGGTGGTTAAGGTTATCGCTTCGAGTACCATCAACCTTCTTGTGGATACAAATACCTTCGTACACACTCTTACATGGCTCTGATCACCTAGTCATCTGGACCTTGCAGATCGGTACTATGTACTTTCAGCAAGCCTGCCGGAAAGCGAACCCACAGAAAAGGGCACAGCCAGCTTATCGACGCCACTATGACACGGCCGAGAAGGAGCCTCTTGTGTTGCAAGGGCTCTGATGGATACACGATTCCAGGGGCGATTGTGCCATTTTTGGTAGCATCTCGCCTCTCCTGGCAGGCTAGTTTCATGGTGCAATACCCCTTCCGCAGACCTCAAATGGTTATCCTCTTTACGGTCCCGATAGCACTGCGTACTAAATGACTTCTTTGGCTGGCTAAGCTTTAGGCAGTGCTAGGCTCAGTTGGAGGCCTGCGGTCAGCTCGGCTCTTCGAAGTAGCTGCTCTTGTAGACCGCATCTCTCACTTGATACCGATGACCCGTTCAATTCGCTCGTACGAGTGGGCCTTAGATGCTGGCTCAAAGGCTTCGAATCGAGTAATGGTTCCACCTCAGCTCCTGCCTTTCGCGTATTAGATCCTTTGCCACTGTAAACTTATTGAGTATGCTTTTCAATTTGGGAAGAGTTGGTTTTGTGCCGGGTATGTCCGTAATATAAACCTAGTAAGCTGAGGACTTGATCAACAGCCTTCTTCAATGGAGAATTAATGGCATTACCCAATGAGCAAGGTTTGCCCCCAAGACGCACTTACCTGGATTGCTTCGAGAGGTTGGTGACATGGATCATGAATTGTGAATCCGATGGGATATAGGTTGCATATCTATACTGATGAGATGGGGATCGCACAGATAAAGAAGTAAAGAGATGAGAAATGAGAAAGGAAAGATCCCGTGACTCGTAGATAATATCACGCGACGTGTTCTGGCGTGGCCCTGCGAATAGATGCTGTTCCAAGCTCTTGGCCTCACGTACTTCTGGTGGATTTTAGTTCTTGATCTTGCACTTAGATCGCAAGTAAATCTGCTCTTGAAGGACTCGCAGCCTTTGGCATGAATTGATGGACTAAACCCGCTGGGAGCGGCTACAAACCTAAGAAAATCAGCAAATACAGAAACGTCGGACTAAGAAATTAAAAGAGTCTAGGTTGTATAATGCATCTCAGTTCCGTCTTTGTGGCCAGATATTCACTATGGTCAATACTACTCTTTGCTGCGTGCAAATTACATCTGATGGTAAAGGACCATTAACGAAAATGTGGGCAAGGTAAACGGTAAGGAGTCTCTAACAGCAACAGTCTAATCTTCGCAAATTCTGGAAAACCTGGTCAGTCTAATTCGGGTACCACTGCTCTAGGGACGTGCACTCTCGATCTTCTTCCCTAGTTTGCGTCCTTACTAGAGTTCCTTGTGAGTGACTATACAGGTAGAAGTACCACCTCATCATAGTCGCTGTCATGGCTATTCTCGCTGCTGTCATCTCCGTCGCTCGGTTTTTTAGACGAATGCACTTTGTTCTCTTTGGAGACTAATGATTCGACTGGACGTTTCGGGGGGGTTCCCAGCCTCGAGTCCTCAGTTAGCACTTCGTGACCAGAATTCTGTGCAGCTGATTCTCTGAGAACCTTCTTCGCTTCCAGTGGGGACTGCGGTGCACTGGTTACATGCGGTGATTGTTTGTTCTCATCTGCGGCAAGACAGTCTGGGCTTGTGGTTGATACTGCTGTATTTGGGGTGGCTTTGGGGGACCAGATTACGGGGCTTGAAGTTTTCCCTGATTCAGATAAGGTAGCATACGTGCTGCCACTGCTTGATCTGAGTGGAATCTCTTTGCGTACTTCTGTTGCTGAACTTCCGTGTCGTGGGTCAGGCCCTGATGAAAAGGCGGTTTGGCCTGCACGTCTGTCAGTCATACTTCCATAAGGAGGTCTGGTCGGAGGAACGAAAGCTGCATTCTGGGACCTCCTTGCGTCGAGTTTGTTGCCGTGGGTATTATAAAATGTTCCAAGGATTGGCCGTGGCCCATTAAAGGACAGACTCGTCAGAGGCATCTCCCAAGGTCTCGATACCAGCTTGGGAATTCTCCCTCTCGTATCGCAAACATGAGCAGCTTTCTCCGCGCCAACGCTCAGGCGACAGGGCTCACTCCCTCGAGGGTCATAATACACTACCTTGTGTCTGGGTTGAGAATCTTTGTTACATTGCCTGGGCTTGTTGAAACGGAATTGGTGTAGGTACTTGTTCCTTTCAGAGTTCGGGCAGTATTTGGCCATTTCATACGCCTGTATCGTGCAATTATCATCCGGGTCGGGCACATTAGCATTTTCATCCCCTTGTGCTGAGAGACCTGTTGCATCAAATTCTGCACAATCCACAAGGGGCTGATGGGTCCTTTGGTCATCATCGAGACACGGCTCAATGTCATCGTCTTCAAGTGCCTGCCAAGCAGACGTACCATTACCCCATTCTCCTGCATATTTGCGGTCGAGTCCACGCATGCGCAGAAACATTTTGGCATCTAGCAGCTCACTTGCCTGGCACATTGAAATGTCCGAGTCGATCTGATCCTGTAATTGTCCGGAAACCTGACGGGAAATCTTGCTGAAGATACCTTGGTGTGGAACGCGATTATGTCCACTTTTAGTATTGTCGACTCGCAGGAGTGCCCTCAGTTGCCTTTCCCTCATATCTTCCAACTGTATATCTTCCTGCTTAGCTTGCCGATCCCATTGGCGAATATTCTGCTGGGTTTCCTCACGCTCCTCTGCCGTC